ATGTCAATATAGTTTACACTGTATTCATTATTACTACTAGTGGCACGAAGGACGGCCGCATCTAACATCTGGGCGGCAGCGGCGGAGGAGGTTGGTTCGTCTTTCACGTGCTTGTGTATTTTTGCTTGTAACACTTTGGGGGGTAAAGTCGAGGCTGGTCGGATATGGAGGAGGTTTGTGGTGGGGTAGGACATAAAATTAAATCTCTTACCACTTTAGGCCTCTGAAGAAGACGGACACGTCGAAACGTCAGGCCGCCACTAATAATAAACATCTACTAACCTCGGTCGGCTTACTAACATACTAACACATATACTAACAATGCCGAGGTTTACGAAAGAGGAAACCTGGAAGCTACTCAGTGAATTAAATCAATAAATTCTTGTCTTGAACAGCTTTTGAAGGGAAGTCAGCAAACTTTATAAAAAAGAAAAATCTGTTTTCTTCCTTTCCACGCCAAAATCAGCTGTTTATCAATTCTCTCCTTTCGGGCACCGGTGCGCAGTTTTGCGCCGATTTTGTCCGCAGTTTTCACGATTCAATTCAAAGCTTCATAGCAATTTGCCTAGCAGCTATTCAGCTAAGATTTTTCGTGAGAAAATAGCCTGAAGCCTTCACTCTCAAATTTTAAGTAGTCAAGGTTTTTTGTTGCCAGAAAGTGACAGTTATACCTTTATATGAGACCTTTAAAAATAGCTTTTCTGATTTGCTGATTCTCGTTCCCAGCCGTATTGAGTACACAGGTGAGGATTTGGTGGTTGGATACATACGGCCTCCTCTGTCTAGATGGCGAATTACAATGGAAATTGTTACCTGTTTCTTTGCATTTCTGCGGTTAAAAATCTGAAAATTTCCAGGCATTTGCGCGTGAAAGTCAAATTTTGGGCATTCCAGGGGCGGTATTTATCAATTCTTCCACCCGCTATTCGGGCCATTGTTAACGAAAGCCCGGACAGGCGAGAGCGCCAACCGTGATTTATCAAATGGTCCGATCTGGGAAGTTTGGCCGCCGTGTAGGGCACGCCAGTCGGGCAGCAGAGCCCGACCTCTACAAGTCGTTCTCCGTTGCCCGAGTGGCCGACATGAAAACTTGCCACATCGGACCATATTCTCCAATGGACATAAGTCCAATCACCAGCTTGGCTTCATATATCGCGGGTGCCAGTCCCGCGCCTGCACGGGCTGTTACCTGTACAGAAACCCCTTCCTGTATAGGAGGTTGATAAATACCGCGTTACCGAGTTACCGAAATACCGAGTTCAGTTCGTTTTTCAGAGCATGATTTTCTGGAAATTTGAAAAAAATTTGACTATTCTTCTTTCATGCTCCATATTGTCATCAGAAACATTATTTCTGAGGAAACAGAGTAAAACTTCCAATTTTCCTTGATCTGCTTTTTCCAATTGTTCTTTAAATACACAATACATACAATTATCCATAATGCTCAAATACAAAAACTGATTTGTGACACCTGCACAAACCGCTAAAAACGACCGAAACTATTTTTCAGCCAACTTAATAGTTCTTTGAGGAACGAACTCCTCTATACCATGCTCAAAATAAAATCGATAGACAAATCCTGAACTATGTATTTTCTTTTTTTGAATTTGATGTTTTGTTACGTATCTAAGCTAAATGTTTCAATGTTACAAAAGCCTTCAGCCGGCTCACGTTTGGACTTTTTAGGAATGTTTCGGTTGAAAGCTCGAGTGATTCTCAGTGGTGTGATTGCCAAAATCGAGCAGATTAACCAAATACTATCGACTATTTTCGTGCTTTAGAAATGCAGATAAATTAATCTTTTTCTTTCCAGATGCTGCTTCACTATAGTTCTCTTCCACGTAGGAAGTCGTCTTCAGACTTGCCACAGAAGTGCGGAGAGGAAAGACTTTGGTAACCCTCATTTTAAAAATCGAAAGGCGCAGTTCTCACTTGAACATGTGGGTGTGGGGGCATGGGCCTCCTTAGGCTTTATTGGAAAATAAAGGATGCAGAAATATTCGATCGCAAATCCATGCCAAACAAATATTGTAGTATTTCTAAAAGTTTCTTCTAGAATACATGCTATATGGAGAAAAATGAGTAAATTTATCCACAAAAGTGGCAACAAAGCTCCTCTATCTACGGTAGCGGTTCACAAAAAAAGGAGCAAGAAGGAATTCGTACACAAAAATACAAAATAGAGTTGGAGGCTTGCGCAAATCAAGTAAAATGCCAATGTGTCTTGCTATTTTTGCACAGTTTCAAATTTCGGCTTTAAATCAGAAAGCATCCTGAAACCCATTTGAAGCTGACAAACGTGAAGTTATCTTTACCTAAGCAAGAATTCCGGCAAAATTTCTTGTTTTTTTTTTAGTTTTTCCTTCAGTGCGTTTTTCGACACGTTTACTTAATATATTCAATGTTTACAACTCTTGCCTATATTTGCGTAACTCCAAAAGTGCATTTATTCAAAATGCTATTTCTTGAATTTTTGACTTTCTTATTCCGTTTTCTCAACTTTCGCGCAATGAAAGCTAAAAAAATATTTTAAAAGTCTCTCTTGAATGCAGCTGTCTTAAAAGAAAAATTGGCCACGGTATGCCACAAGTGATGAGCTTGCAGTGGCTGGAACAGGGACCATAAGTTGATGCTGGACAACTTTTCATCTTCTCCGAGACATGAACTAAAAATCAGGAGTATTTACTAAAAGCAAAAACAGATTATTATTTCTTGTTCGGAAAATTAATGCTTTTAACCACTCCTCAGCAGTCGAATAAACTGTGGTAGTTCCTGATTCTCCTAGTGAGCTAGCAGATGTGGGTCCTAAAAAATTGCTTAGCCTTAATTTGATAAGGATTTATTTGTACGAATGTTTGCACAGTGCAGTTAACTTTCTGTAAACTCAAAATTCAATCCTGCTTTGTTTGATCATCCTTATTAGTAATTTGATCAACCCACATTAAAGTACTTGCTACATACGTTTCATGAATGTTAGCTAGCACTAATGGCGCTGTTTACGCAGCTCAAAAACAATCAATTGCTGGGAAATATACAAACACTGCATCCAATTTAGGTGATGATTTTACTACATTCGTAACTTCCACGTCGCAGATCATAATCTTAGAAGCTTGTGCACGTTGCTTTCCGATTCCAGTGACTCTATCATCCCATTTATATTCTGAAGGGTAGGATTCTACGTAGTACTGAAGTTCAGTAGCCTTCCACCAACGAACCCAGTGGGTTCCGGACGACGGCCCAGTATGAGGGTGAAATTTGACATTGGTGAAAAGACTCCGCCTTTTTTAATTGACTTTTCGATTTCCCGCTCGATTCGCCACCTATGTAGATTATTCGATTAGAGCGCACTTTCTTCCTCCAAAGGACTTGCTCGTCTCTGTTTCGGATATTGACAAGGAGGAGAGAAGTTTCGGAATTAGAATGTTACTATACAGGGTGTCCCAAAAAATGTGAACACTGTTTGATTCTTAATAACTCCCTTGTTCTCATGTCTTTCGCCGAGCTTGAGGTACCATTCTATAGAGCAAGGTTCAACTTAGATCTACAGTATGGCGCGAACCATTGATCGCTCTTCAATACTGTAAGATTACGGTAGGAACTTCGACAAGGATTTTAGGTCACCGGAGGCCATATTCTTCTCGGTACAAAACCAAACAAGCCAAAAACTTTTATGCTATAGCAGTGGATGCGGCTGAGTTCGAATATGAAATTTCCACTTTACTGTGGTGCTTCTTTCCAAGTATATCCCAGCTAAATCGTAATAAAGAATTTCCAGCATTTGTCAGAAATGTGACCACACCGTCAGAAAAGTTAAAAACACTCGTAAAAAATTGTGTAATGGAATCGTGCGCAAAAACCCTGATGAATGATTTTTCAGATTTTTTGGGAAAAAATTTTTGTCAAATGGCATATTTCACAATAGATCCACGTGCTAGACGATGATTCGTTCCATACTACAAATCTAAGTTTAACCTCGCTCTACAGAACTGTGCCTCAAGCTCGATGAAAGGCATGAAAGCAACGGAGTTTTCAACGATCAAACAGTGTTCACATTTTTTGGGACACCCTGTATACTAAACTTTAGGAGTAGGACAGATTTATATAAAAATTTTGAACAACTTCTGTGAACTGCAAGTTTTGCCTAACTCAGGTAAGCATTACGTGAGCATCTGTCCACCTAATCTAGAAGAAAAACCACGCTTCTTATTCATATGGGTTTTGTACAAATTTTCATATGTTTCTCCTCAGCCGTACTGTGCGTATACACACAAAATTTCGTGCCATGTCATCATCTGTGCGTTGCAAAGGAGCCATTTTATTTCTTAATTTTTCACAAAACTCTGTACTGTGCTACTCCTAATCCATGTATGCTTATACTCCAAATTCTTAGTCATATCGTTATGTCTGCGCTGTGAACGAGACATTTGATTACAATTCAATGGAAAAAAATGGATTTTTGAAGACGACGCGCGAGCAAGATAGTTTTTTTGCATGTCAGACGTGTAGCAATTTGTCGAGAGAGTTTCTACACGTAAACATAAATTTACGATATCCCCTTCTCTCACTCAAAACGATTTCCAGTCTGACATTTGCCTACCTCGTGCCGGGCCTGGGATGAAAAGGCTTAAAGTCAGCTTTTCAAAAGACATCTAGGGACAAACTTTCTCTTTACATTCTCAATGTGACTAAAAATATGTGTGCTTCCTTTGCGAACGTTAAACTTGTCAGGCCACAATAAGCACTTAAAACGAAATGAGATGTTTGTCCCGTGAAAATCCGCACAAATTCATATAAGTACCTCATCATTAATGAGATCGGCGTATTGAGGCAAAATAAGATATGTAGGAGATCGGAATATTCTGATTCCCAAGACAAATGTCTCCGACTTTCTACGAAAAACAATACCCTCTAAATTATTTGCCTTTCATGAAGAAATTTTTTTGCTTGTTCTCAATCAGGAAAGACTCATTTTTTCAGGAGCGCATCCTTCGCCAAAGGAAATGAATTTGTCGCTGCTTTTGCTTCCACTTGGATTCTGTGGCGTTTATGGCGGCCTCTGTATCAGTAGACCGAAAGAAGAGGAGTCTGTTAAAACTGTATCGTGCCATTGTGGGAGAAGTCTTTCGTAGTTGTAGGTATTGGATGTGCGCACCAAGAATCGAAACGTGTTTGAAGATCAGCAATCCGCGCTCACTGGGTGTAAAGCACTACACCGAACGCAGTATTTGCGAAGGAAAATGCAAATCAAGAGTAGCTTCCTCCATTGAGCTCCAAATATAGGCTAAGCCTTAAAGGTGCTAACAACTGCCACCTAACCAACCAGCAGTTCACAACAGCACGGATGTAGACATTGACCAAAAATGTACATGTATGTATTCTCTTCCATTGTCTTCAAAGTATTAGGTTGTCCGGAAATTAATGCAGGCTTTGAATTCCAACCGCAATAAGTCATACACTTCTCATTTCTAAATAGGTTGCAAAGCACCATTCGATAGAGCAAAGCAAGCTCTACAAGATGGCCATTTTGCTTTAGCAACAGCTCTGACCCACCACGAGTTTCGAGCCAGAAACTGAAAAGATTCAACTGCCCGAAAAATTGAGAAACATCATAACTCATTTCATAATAATCCTGCAAAAATTCTAACTTGCTCACGTAAACCCAATCCACATAAGACATCCATATACGCCGTTGCCGTATTTTTTTCTCTGTTAGAAATCAAGAAAACGGAAATTTTCGTCCATTTGCTAAAGTGGTGCTGTGCCGTTCGCACATAGGTACTGTTACAAACCTTTAGAAGTACAAACGTAAATTTCCAGCTTTCTACAAGCTTTAGTTCGCGAGAAATTTGAATTTTAGCTTAGACCACATGACTAGGGAAAACTGTATTCGATATTTCTCGAGAACTAAAGCTTGTAGAGAGCTGGAAATTTACGTTTGTACTTTTAAAGGTTTGTAGTATACAACTACCTATGTGCGAACGGTACAGCTCACTTTAAAAAATGCACGAAAATTTCCGTTTTCTTGATTTCTAACAGAGAAAAAATACGCCAACGGCGTATATAGATGCTTATGTGGATTGGGTTTACGTGAGCAAGTTAGAATTTTTGCAGGATTATTATGAACTGAGTTATGATGTTTCTCAATTTTTCGGGCAGTTGAATCTTTTCAGTTTCTGGCTCGAAACTCGTGGTGGGTCAGAGCTGTTGCTAAAGCAAGATCGCCATCTTGTAGAGCTTGCTTTGCTCTATCGAATTTTTTGCAACCTACTTAGAAATGAGAAGTGTATGACTTATTGCGGTCGAAATTCAAAACCAATTCAAAACCTGCATTAATTTCCGGACAACCTAATACAAAAAATTTTTCCTTCTTTCTAAACCAGATTTTGTTTCTAACATAAGAACGGTTTCTTATCTTTCTTCTTTAGCTATTCTCGTGAAGTTATTTATACAACGTTGTTTGTGAGCTAAGTATTCATTTTTCAGTGAAGCTTAAACTACTTGTGAATTCAAATCAACGAATCAGAAATGCCACAGTAAAGCCAGAAAGAAGCTACATACCATGGATGAGATCACTCCAATAGGTTACCCGACATTTCAACAATTGTCTTGTATGTGACATTTTGCGAACCATCAGCAAAGGAAACGTTCAGAATGCATTCAGTAAACTATCTCGTCTTTCTAAAGTCAGTCCGCATTCAAAGATTACAACCAAGTCAAGTGATTGCAGAAAATCGCGGTGTGACATTTTCACAATTTTTGTAATTCTTACACATCACTTAGCTGACCAACTTTAGCAAGGCTCACCCTTTTTGTATTATTGCAACTGTATGTTCCTCGCAAATTCCACCTCTGTGTAAAAACTTGCTTTTTCGGGTAAATAACCCTCCATTGAAATGGTTACTAATTTTTACCTCTTTGGAGAAAATGCAGTTGAACATAGAGTTGCGCTGACCTTTGAGACTTGGAGTGTCTTCACGGAGTATTATAAGATGGTTATCAAATTGAGGTAATTTTTGCAGAAGCAGAATTTGACCTGAGAAAAGATAAAAACGCGACGAAATACTAGATATTATTACGCCTGATATGGCATATGGGCGCAAGAACTCGGCCTTGGTGGAGAGTGAGTGCAATGTGCTGTCAGTTACCCGACATTTCAACAATTGTCTGTGTTTAAACCAACAAAAAAGTCGTATGATCTTTACCTTAATAAGCCTCCTTTCGTAAAAATCCGGGGAAAAAATCATCTGTCTGTCTTCCATCTCTATTGGTTTTTTGGTCACTCCTTTTTTCCCTTTTTCCACCCTTTCTTCTAAAATCTTCTCTTTCCTTTTCTCCGTTCTGTTTCTGTCACAACTTTTTTCTCTACCTGAAAACTCAATAAAAACGCTGTAAAATTGTACTGTGTACATACTACGGCACTGCTAAAGATGTTTATAGTAGAAATAAGTAAAATCTCAGGATATCGAAATCTTCGGTAATCCCTAGCTCGAGAGCTAGGAAACATCGAAACATTTACAATTTTCGGATTCCATTTCTTCTGCCGAAAACATGCTTAGAAGTGCAGTAGTATATCCTCAGTACAATTTTGCGGCGTTTTCATTGACTTCTCAGGAAGATAAACCACTCTGAAAAAGCGAGCTGATCCCCTGAGATACCCTAGGGATCCTCAGGGATCACACAAAATGGCAAAAAAACCATTTTGCTTGGAAGTAACCTGGCATCCACTATGCGCAGGTGTACTTGTATAAAAAACTTCATAAGAAAGATAGAGAAAGAAGAAGAAAGATACGTAGAGTAGCGAGGTATGACGCATCCCCTCTCACGAGTTAAGTACTTTCAATGGCCGTGGCTGTTTGATATGAGATGCATACCATCTGAAGCAGCCTCAAACGCTGATTTCAAATCTGCCTTCCGTTTCTGCGAAACGCTCTTTCTGAAGAGAGTTATAGAAGACTGAACATCCCATTTTGGGAACGCTTCTTGAGTGAGGGCGCTGCTATGTGCGTTGGTGGTGCAGTAGTGTAATGGTTACTTGCTGGCATTGATGCGAGAGGTTGACGGTTCAAATCCGGTAGAGAGCGAGCCATTTTGCATTTTGAATGTGAGTTTAGAAGCACTCTAAATTCTGCAGACACTTACTGTAATGCCTTAGCACAAACAGGAGAGAACATCTTTTCGAATAATGACAGTGTGCCTTATTTGAGCTTTATATGGTGACAAACGTGCTACGCCATGTTCGGTCCTGTTTTACTAGTAAGAAAGTCAAATAGAATTTCAGGCTCTCATTACAAGCAGTTTTGCCGGAAAATTCTTTTTCTAGGTCACTTAAGCCGAAGGCATTACAGTAAGTGTCTGCAAGCAATTCAGAGTGCTTTCAAACTCACATACAATAAGCAAAATAGTTCGCTCTCCACCGGATTCGAACCATCAACCTCTCGCCTTCAATGTCAGCAACTAACCACTACATTACTGCACCACCAGTGCACATAGCAGCGCCCTCAAACTCAAGGGGCGCCCCCAAAATAGAATGTTCAGGCTTCCATAACTCTCTTCAGAAGAGCGTTCCGCAGAAATGGAAAGCAGATTTAAAATCAGCGTTTGAAGCTGCTTCAGATAATATGCATCTCACGTCAAAAGGCCACGGCCATTGATAGTACTTCCCTTGTCAGATCCTCTCCTTCCCCAGTGGGAATGTACGTGCATACGCGGGCCTAAAATGATGCGAAAGCTGACTCGCGTGAGGGGGAGCGGGGAGGGGGGGGGGAGTGTACATCCTTGCTGCAACAGAAGCGATGATTTGCGATTTAAAGTGATTATCAAATACTTATCGATACCCATGCAACTATGCTTTGAAAAGGTTTTGGGACTATAAAAGAAGAAGAAAACGGTTTCAATGATTGTTTCGCTTGGACAGTATTAGCTTATTATTGAGGTATGTGGGCTTCATCACCATTGTAAATTTGTTTACTATGAGTAGATAATAGAAATCATACAGTCTGCGTCCCAAAGAATTCGAAGGCTTTGCAGGCATATCTTTTGAGTGCATCTGTAATTTGAAAGCAGCATCCGGACAGAAGTGCGGAACCTGTTTACAAGTAGTACCCTATCAGATCTTGAAATAAACAAATGCAGAACCATAACATGAAATTCGAAGACATTGCGGACGTTGATTGGTTTTGGGAAGGTTAATGTACCTGGTTTATTTATTTCACCTGGATTACATAACCCCAATTCTTGTATACATTCGAAATTTACATTTCTTACCAAAAACCATATTCACTCCTATGAAAAGCATAACGCGGGGTCAACAGAAAAGCTAGAATAGCGTATTTTTTGACAACGAGTGGCATCTGAGCATAAGAAAGATGGGAATTGCGATTTTTTCAACAGATTTTTTCAACACGACTAAGAAATGAAGCCTGTGAGAATGGTTAGCGTGAATACCGTAAAAGATATATTTCTGCGAATAAACAAAAGATTTTCGCAGTAGCTGCGCTGAAGTGAGACATGAATATGCCTCAGTTCGTTTGAAGTAGTCGAATATGTAATGGATCGGGATAAGGATTTTAGCGAAAAACGCTGCAAACAGTTAGTGGGCGAAAAAATGCCCTAATCAAGCTTATATTCTTATGTACTGTTTCAATAAGTGGGAGCTAATTTGGGATTTCTAGTCAACTACCGTCTGCACATCTATCAAGTTGTCCCATAAGTTTCGTCCGTTTTCACTTTTCATTTCAATAGCTTCTCAGCTTTCTTCCTATAAAAAAAGCCTCGGGATTTCTTCCGATAGTGAAGCAAGCTCTACAAGTGGCTCACCAATGTCTGCACAAAATCCATTACATTAATTAAAAATCGAAATCCAAAAACTTGAGACGTCGAAGCACAAAATTAGAAAAAAGATTAGATGAGATAGACCACAGCAGTGAATTTAGTTGAGACAAAAACAGCTTTTCTGCTTGAGCAATTGCATGTCATGAACATTGGAAATGGTTACTGTAACATAACTATGCCTCACTAGGGGAGGATCCAAAGTGAAATGGACTTTCCAAATGAAGTGTGACCAATCTGAAGAGCATCGAACGCTGATTCCAAGACTGTCGTTGTTTTTGCCAAGCGCCTCTAGACGCGAGTTATGAGTGTTTTGGGGGGGGGGGGAGGCGAAAAATGATAGCAAATAGGTAAAATCAATGTTTGCGTCAATCCAGCGCTCAAATAAAGAAGTGTTGAGTACGAGTATATTATACAAGAGGTTTTTGATGCATAGATTGGTTTGATATTTA